TTTTTTTTTTTAATTGATTTTTATTCTATATTTTATTTTGACAAAGTGTACATTAATAAAATTATTTATATTGTTAAAAAAAATATTGATTTTATTGTCGTATTTGTATTTTATTTATACTAGTATTTTAACGGCTTATTAATTGATTGATGGATAATATATTTTATGTAGGATAAAATGTAGCGTGAACGACTAGAGATGAAAGTTAAATCTTGGCCTTCAGACTCTACACTAGAGAGGACTGGAGATGGTGTTAGGACAATTCTCAAGTATATTCCAATCAAATGAGGCAAGGCTCTCAAAATTTCTTTTCCTCGTTCTATCTTTTCCTCATAAAAGGGAAAAAAAAAACGAAAAAAGAAAGGTAAGACAAATACACACGAGAAGACAATGTAGTTCGAGGACTACCTCCCAATACAGTTGATTGCAGTCCATGCATTGCCAAAATTCCAATTTTTTGTTAAACAAACACTTTGGGATCACTTGAAACCCCTTTGCAGCTTCAACAGCTTCTTCAATTGTTAGGGGTTTCTGAATGAACTTCCCGTTGCATTTAGTACATCTCGACATGAGTTGGTCCTCCGAGATCTTAAGCTGAAATGTCTCAATTACCTGCATGCATCATCTCGATTTTAGGAACTCAGAAAGTACGTGTCTATTTAAACAATAACTGGATTACGTGCAGAGAGTTTACCTCGCATAGCTGGTCGTTTTTAAGGAGATTCTTGATCCGGTATATCTGATTCTTTATCAAATATTCATGTTTCAAGATCTTGGCATCCCTTGTTAAAAGAACTCTCTTCTCTTTTTGTGCTTGATCTATTAACTCCCTGAAGAAAATAAACGAAACATTTATAAGAAGTTTGCCAAAAACTTCTACATATCTTATTTAAATCAAAATCAGTAGTGGGATCATAAATCTAATGGCTAATGCGAACCGTTAAATTCAGAAGTTGACATTTAAAAGCCAAAAAAAAAAAAAACCTTCCTTTACTTCAAATCGGAAGACAGTGAATCTTAATCTTTAGAAAGTGTCATATTAAACACGAAAAGAAACTAGACACTATGCGTTTATGAAGCTACTAAGGGCATGCTTGGATACAGATGTATCCGTTTAAAAAGGGTTTTTTCGGTTAACTAGTGTTAATTTTGGAAAAGTTTGTATGGTTAGTTGTTAGTTGGTTTTTGAGTTTATATTAACATAAAATAATCAAAATTGATTTGATGTAAAAGTAAAAGGAAGATTATATGAAGTGATGGTTAGTTAAAATTATGTGAGTGAATTAAAGTTGATGTGGTGTGTAAGAAAGATTGACTGATATTACTAATCATATTGATAATATTGAAAAAAATAATGGAGATGGGTTGAAGTTGTATTAGATTTTGAGTATGAGTTGAAATAATTTATAAACAAACACACCCTAACGGCAGTCAGACCTGGTTTCAGGCTTCTTTGAATAGGGAATCGCAGCATCTATCCCAACACAACGTAAATGCTTCGCCAAACCCTCAACCTGCAATATTAACAAAATTCAACTCACACTTATCAGAAGAGATGGTTCATTCATCTCACTTAATAATATAACGGCATTAAACTAAACAGTGAATGAAACTGAGGCCTACCATCACATCACATAAGAACTTGGGGCATCCATCACCTCCTATAGACGGATCCCATGGAGCGGGTCCTTGCCAATCTTCTAAAATGTCTAGTATCTTCTGTTTATGCTCTAAACCGAGAGGAGGTTTTTTAGATTTCTTTTTTGAATTTCTTGGTTTTCTATCCGCATCCTTCAACAAAATTTTGTCGCCGTGCTTCTTAACAATCCACAAAAGACTGCCTTCTAATTTTGCGGTAATTTTTGTGGAATCTGAACTCTCGGGCAGAGTTACACAGATCATGCTTGAAGCTTCACAAAATTTGGTTCGTGTTACCAAGTTACAACCATTTGATGTATCAAAAATATGTTTTAATCCAGGATCGGAACCAGACGGCTCGAGTTTATTCTGATTCGGAGAAATGTTTCCTGCATTTGGCATCCAAGAAGATCAACAAAGGCACGATAAAAGGATGAGAATGTACCATACATTTGTTTTTAGTTTTCACAACAAAGTGAAACTTTATTCTATACATTTTTATTTGAAATAAAGAAGTTCAACCTTCTCTAACAACCTTTGCATGGAACACGTTGAATATATTGAGCAAACAACGAGCATCTTCGGCAGCATATGCTTTCTGCTCTTCTGATAGAGGGCGTTGGGACCAATCACTGCATTGAAGTTCCTTATCACAAATGCAATGCGCCCATTTAGTCAAAACACGTTTTGAAAAAAAAAAAAAAAAAATCCAAATTTAGAACTACACATCATAGGTCACAATGTGAGGTAATGAAATTGTAAGTACAAACCTTAGAGAGGGAAATTCCTAAAACTTCTTCGCAGATTGTCGCTAAGCTTTTGTTCTGTTTTGGTGTTCTTCGTGTGGGTTGTTTTGGTTGCAGATAGTTGTATATAGCAGCAATATCAATAAACGGTTCGACCTTGACAATAACACAAATTTGATTAATTTCAACAAATATATAACTGCAAGGATGCACGAAACTATAATCCACTTCACTAGTGAACTCTTTTGATAATCATAAACAGCACACAGCTGAAATACGATACAAATTCAACCCGAAACCAAGCCCATGCAGCTCATACCTCGTAATATCACATAAATCAACTAAAATTCTCACGTCTGAAGTATAAAAAATTGATATTGAGCAAAACCACGATTATTTATACCATAATCCTAATAAAAACATGAGTAACTCGATCCAACCAGATTAGGGCGCTTACCGGAACAAAATTCTAGCATGGTTACGAATAATGCTCGATTAACCACATTCGGATTATTATTCCATTATCCTAATAAAAACATCAATAACTTGATCCAAGCATATTAGGGAACTTCCCGGAATTAAATTTGAGCATGGTTACAAACAATGCTCGATTAATCATGCTCGAATTCCTGCAAATTTCTCTAATTACAACTGTCCATTGTCAGACCAGTTATCCATGACATGTATATATACGAAGCTAACCTGACAAACTCAACAAATCAAGCTATTAAATCAAGTTTTTCACTGCAGAAAAAATTCAGACAAAAAATTCATAACAAGTATAAATCAAAACACCAAGAACAAAATGCCTTACCCTATCAAAACCAGGTTCGCATCCCAGCTCACAAAAGGTAGACGACAAATAAACCAAATCCTGCTTGAACCTAAACCCTAATTTTATAACATCAGGAGATACAAACACCTCTCTCAGCAGCTCGTACACAGATGGCAGATGAACCGCTTGGAGATCGAGTAGAAAAACCGGGCACTCATCCTGGGTCGATCCGGCGGAGCTGACGAGCCGGCAGGCGATTTGCAGGAGCGAAACCATAGGGAAGGTGGACGAGTGGCGGTTGGGCTTCCACTCCGCGTCGAGGCCGATGGCCGATGAATGAGTCAACGCCTGCCGGAGGTGAGTGAACTCGGGCGAGTCATCCGAGTTAACGAGATAAATTCCGGGTTCCATTCACAACTCGTGGAAGATGGTGGTCATTAGTTATTAGATGATTTGCCTTTTAAATTTGATTGTGCTTAGTGGGCCTTAGACCGTCTCCAACCGAGCAACAAAACGCAAAAATTGAGGGAAAATCTCTCTAATAGTACTGCAAACTCAAACCCAAAATGAGTTTTTGAGTTTCTCTTCTGATTTTGACGCAAATTTGTTTTCCTCCAAAAAAAATGCGTCTATACTTCTATATTTTCAATTCAGTCCTTCTTTTTAATTATAATTACACGAAGGATTAAAAAATAAAAAAAAATGAAATATGTATGTGGACTGCGAAAAGTGGAAGTCGGGAAGGGATTGGGTGATGGTAAACTAATGTTCTGGCATTAAAATATATGTATCAAGTATCAACATTTTAATTTGAAAAATTATAATAAATTGAAATAATATAATTTTTCTTATGATATAATATGTATTAATATTTTATGTATGTGTTTATATTATATTAGTATTAGTAATTATTGTTAAGTTAAATATTGTTTTATTTATTTATAATTATTATTATATATTAGTATTTTTTAAAAGAAAAAAATCTACAAACAATATTAATAGTGTGGTTTAATTTGTAAAGTTGTAAAATATATGGGTAGTATTGAAAAATTATAAAGTTGATGTGAAATAGAATATTCCGAAAATTTTCTTTTGGGTTTGAAAATGGAGATTTCGATTGGAGATAAATTACTGCAAAATGTGACAGTTGCTGCAAAATGGGTTTGAGTATGGGATTTTTTGTTGGAGATGGCCTAAGAGACTAAGAGTTGGCTTCAGTATTTTTTTTTTTTTTTTTTTTNTTTTTTTCTTAAGACATGCCCAAAGTAAAAATGAACTAATTTGCTATGAATGTATTTTATGCGTGTTTTAAAACTCGTAATTTGGTGTTTATATTTCGTAGTGTAAACAACATTGTGTGTTGTGTGAGCTATTTAAGTATAAAAATTTATTTTAATAAGAATATTATAAATATATTTGCATATAATCAAACTATATTGTTGGTTCAAAAAATTATCATAATATTTGAATGAATAAAAAATAATATCTAAGAATTATTTCTCACAAATATTTAATGTAGATATCATAATATAATAATCAAAGAATAAAGCTACATACTAAAAACGGTAAAAAGTAAAAAAAAAAAAAAATATCATAGTTCAATTCTAAGTATATATTTTTTAATTATTGTTTTTATGTAACTACAACTTAATTCTGACCACTATATATGAACTTTTATTATTTATTTAAATGTTAAATATCAAAAATTAAAATGAAATAATAAAATGAACCCATAAATTGCATTATTCAACTTAGGATTTTGCAATTTCAAACTTTTATTTTAAAATCATCATCAAAAGTTTAGTTTTTAGTTTGTCATTTAAAAATATGACTCTACTCCCTAAAAAATACAAGATTTAGAATATTTTATTATTTAAATGTCGTTGCAAAAATATAGAACTTTGCAATTTCAAGCTTTATTTTAAAATCATCATCAAAAGTTTACATTTTAGTTTGTCATTTAAAAATATGACTCTACTCCCCCAAAAATACGAGTTTTAGAATATTTTATTATTTAAATGACGTTGCAGAAATATAGTGCAATGTCACCTACAATAGCGTGAAATAACGCAACATAGCGTAAAAAATGTGTCATTTCAGCATTTTGTGTAAGCTTTTCGGAGAAAACAATAAATATATAACGCTGCTTTGCATTTTTTGAAGAAAAAAAAGGCTACATAACAAGCTATTTAAAACAATGATTGTATGCATTCATTTATACAACGTCCACTACAACTCGCGTAGCCATTAAAAGACTTCTATAACAAACAAACCCTATGATTGTGTCTCCCCTTGAGAAGCACCTTCCATGGCAAGACGTGTCCACAGGTCGTTTTAGGTTGGTTTCGTTTCGGAATGTCGGTTTAGGTTCGGAACGCCGGTTCAAGTTCTCAAATTAAGCGAACCAAGACCAGACTAGGTATATATATGTGCCTGTTCAAGTAAACGACAGTTCCCAGTTCATAACTGGCCTGCTAGTCCCATGTCGGTTCAGTGCAGAGGCGGCTTGAACCGGAGGTTCCGACTTGACATATTATAAGTTAAAATATGATGGAGACGATATATATTTATTTTCATTTACCTTTATTACCATTCATTTTATAATTAGTATTTGGTAGAGAATATTTATTATTCTTAATATTGGTATTAAAATATTTATTAAGAGATATTATCTTGTTGGACAAGTTATGAGTAAGGTTCAAGAGGCTTATTTAAAGGATTTTTCCTCATTTGAGTTCTTCAATTGATTATGAATAAAATATGAATTGATATTGAGTTTAGGTGTCCTTGAAATTGCGATCTCATTAATATTATCCTACCCCTGTGTTTTCATACATCAGAATATCAATTAAATTGAAGTATTTTTAAGTTTAAACATTGTATTTTTAACTTATAATATGTCAATCAAGTTGTCTATGTATCTGTTGCTTAGAGAATGGAAGCCATTGTAGTTCTTACCTTGACGAGAGAAGATTGTAGGATGAGGTAGAACGATCTAGTAATCTTAGTCATAGTCGTCGTGTCGGTTTCGCTGGTTCCACTAGTACTAGTAAAATCATC